CCTCCCTGGGCAGCCCGGGGCAGGGCTCCGTCACCCTCAGAGGGAAGAAGTTCTTCCTCGGGTTCAGCTGGAGCTTCCTCTGCTTCAGTTTGTGCCCGTTGCCCCTTGTCCTGTCGCTGGGCACCACTGGAAAGAGTCTGGCCCCGTCCTCCTGACCCCCACCCTGCAGATATTTAGAGGCATTTCTAAGGTCCCCTCTCAGCCTTCTCTTCTCCAGGCTGAACAAGCCCAGCTCCCTCAGCCTCTCCTCGCAGGAGAGATGCTCCAGTCCCCTCCTCATCCTTGTAGTCCTCCGCTGGGCTCTCTCCAGTAGTTCCTCATCTTTCTTGAACTGGGGAGCCCAGAACTGGATGCAGAGCCCAGAACTGGACGCGGGGCTTGTGCTCTGTTTCCATTAAGCTAGCACGGAGGCTGAAATACGGCCACACTGCGCACCTCGTGGAAATAAGAAAAGCTTTCCGAGTGGTGAATGACAGAAGGAGTAAGCTCAGCCTGTCAGCGCGTGCAGGAGGGGACGGTGTTCACCCAAGGGACAGGGGGTCCTGCCCGCGTTTCCCCCAGCACGTGGGGTTCTCGGGCTCCCCCCCCAAGGCCCCGGCGCCGGACCCACCTTGCAGATGCCGTTGATGCACATGTCGCGGCTGGCGTTCATCTCGTAGCACGGCGTCCCGTCGATGACGGCATCGCGCAGCTTTTCTGCAAAGTACTCGTCCTCCGGCCGGCAGTGCAGCTCGCAGGGGTTGACTGGGGAACCCAACAGGCAGAAACGTAACCCAAGGAGCTGGGGACCACGTAACCATCTCCAAAAACATAAATTAACTCTGCAAGCCCAGCCATAACTTCAAATACAACACTAACATGCTGCAAGGCAAATTCTGCAGACACGAACAGCAACATGAAGCCGTTATCCAGGCTGTGTTTCAGGATTTTCACTGGGGCTGCAGGCAGAAACCCGGCAGCGGGCTTTGCTCTCAACTCACTGTTGTTGGGCACCGGTGTCCAGCGGTAGAGCTTCCCTTTGTAGAGCATGGGGTTGAACTGGCTGCACTGGACCTGGCGGAAGGAGGGCTTGTCGGGGGGACACGGCCTGACGTTGCAAATCCGGAACCGCTTCCGCTCCCCCAGGCAGTACCTGCCCCCGTACTTCGGCCTGTCCACGGGAGGGAACAGGGAAAAGCAGAGAATCACAGAAGGGTTTGGGTCGGAAGGGACCTTAAAGCCCATCTAGTCCAACTCCCCTGCCATGGGCAGGGACCCCTTCCACCGGCCCAGGGTGCTCAGAGCCCCATCCAGCCTGGCCTTGAACACTGACAGAACTTGAATTTCTCTGGGCAGCCTGGGCCAGGGCCTCACCACCCTCATCGTAAGGAATTTCTTCCTTCTATCTCATCTAAATCCACCCTCTCTCAGTTTAAAGCCGTTACCCCTGTCCTATCAAATAAAGACCTACCACACACAAGGGGAAACTCCCTTCTTATTCAGAGCTAAGGGAGGGTGGTTTTGCATCTGCTGCTGAGGTTTGATCTCACGAGGCTGGGTCAAGCCTGAGCCCACCTGGAGCTCTCCCAGTTACAACCCCCCCACACCGCCCTGCTGCAGTGCTCACAGCAGGAAGCTGGCTACGAACTCAGCATCCACCCCGGCAGGATTCCCACTCCACAGAGCAAGCTTCTGAAACGCCTGTAACCCACAGCCCACATCCTTCTCCTCCGAGTCCCTCCTGGACCAGCTCCGTGCTGCTGCTGCCGGGCTGCGCTATGGGACCACGCAGGGAGAGACCCTGGACCAAAGGCAGCTTTCGCTGAGTAGTGGCTCTCAAGCTGGATTAGCTACACCTTGGGTCTCGTCCCTCTCGACACTCTCTCCTTAATACTGCCAGTACAGCCAATTTTATACGCCTAGCATATGATGCTATAAAACCAGTCTGAAGCCCCCCACCTCCTGCAGCCGCAGCCAGGCACCCTTCCCCGGGGGCAGAACTTCTGCCCCCCACGCCGGGTACCGTGGCTGACACGATGCCAGCGGGCCCACGGGCCGGGGCAGCCAGGCGCCCGCGCTGCGGCCGGCCCCGGCGGGCTTCGTCTCGGATGTGCTGCCGACTCCGCTCCTCTGCCACCCAAGCGAACAGCAAAGCTGCTGCTGGGCTTTTTAAAGTAAGGGGGACTTCAAAAGCAACAATAGGTTTTTCTCAGATGCCAACATGCTCACAAAATTCTGCCACCACCTCCTGACGCTTGCTTTTTGCTTTGGTCACAGCACTCTCCATCACCCACATCCCCACGACCTCATGAAAATGACTTTTCCTGTGACCAGTTAAGTCCGGGCACGCTTTGCTGGAGAAAATAAATTTAATCATTATTTTAGGGTTGTGTTTACATACCCTGCCCCGAGGAAATGCCTGCGGGAGGAGGCCTGCCCAGCGCACACGTTTGTTCGCTCCATCCAACATGCAAAGCTGGAGATTTACCTACGGTGGCCAAAGCAAACAACTGCCCGGGGAAATTCTGCTGCTTTCCCAGTGCTCGCTCTCCTGCCTGCCCACAGCTGTGTTTAAAACACTCCATAAACTACGGCTGCACTTCTGCCACAAAACTCCTGTCAAACAGAAACTCAGCTCTTGAGCTGGGACCGAGATTACGCAGCGCTTCTTCAAACAGCTCACCAGCGTGGGCTCAGAACAACGCGCCCCGGGA